GGCTATATTGGGAAGAAGCTATTATAGACTCAGGCTTGAGTTGACAACAGCTTGCCTTGGGGTCAGCAATGGAATGGGGAAGAAGAGTCCATGCCATATAGAAAACAAACAGATATGGGAGGTGGGAAGAAGAGCAAAGCATTCCAAGTAGCATTGAGGTGTTGAACATGAGTGTCAAGCAGAATGGAAGAGTCTCCTTTTTAAGAACATGGGTTAGTAATTTGCTTAGATACACATGCACTGTTGACATACACTGCCTCTACTAGGAGCCCTGGCCATGCAGGAGTTAAATGTGCAGAAAGCTGCAGAATGCTATTATTTTAGAGCCCTGTGAAAATGTAATTTGATTAGTCTATTGGATGATATTCCAAAGAACCAAATGTCTTCCATGAATCAGTCAGAAATGCTTAGGAAAACCAAAATAAAAAATGCTTTCTAAGCCAATAAAGGTGCTAATTAGTGCCTTCTGCATATCTAACTACATCTTCTGCAGTAATACATTTTTCAGGGTTAAGTGCAGGATCTGCTGCTTCAGATGGCAGAAGTCCACCGAACAGTAGGGAGGGTGGCTGGAGACGCGAGTATCTATGAGGGAATCAGAACTGGAGTTTTTAAGCCACGGAATGAGATGTATTGAATAGAGCAAGAACTTTTTTTCTCACTTTATTTTTTTCCAAAAGCAATCCTTAAAAAACTTGGGGATAACAGGGCTTAATTTGTTTACTTCCTTTCCCTCTTTCCCAGTGCTTCCAAAAGTAAAATCTAGTATTAAAATCTGAGAAAGGGTATCCTGGTGGAGAAAAGGTGGAGAGAATTATCAAAACCAAGCAATCTGAGAAGTAAGTATGGATTTGAATCCACCACAGGGACCACTTCAAGGGTCCCACCTTCTACCTGGTACAGCTCCAAGCCTGGTTCCTGCAGCAGCCTGAGGAAATCAAGGATTATAGGAACAGTCTGTCTGTCCTGTTGTGGTGTTCCCTACGATTGTTGCTCTGATCAGAGGTAACAAACTGAAATGCTTTCAGGAGCCACACCGGTAATCACTAATGAATGAAGTAGGCAGCACTGAGACTGTGGGAAATTGGAGGCACATTTCTTTCAACAGATTGCACCCTGAAAACACCTGGGCCAGTGCTGCTGACTCTTTCAAGTTTTAAAGAAAGTCTAGGAATTCCAATCCTTGTGAAAAGCAACTCTTTGTGGGCTGCTAGCTTATGCCTCTCCACTCAAGTTCATTTTGAAAACAGGCCAGAGAAACAGGACCTGACCGTGACATGCTCATTTTTGGGCTCCATGAAGTTTACCTTACAAATTAGCAAAATAGGAAAAAGAAAAGAATTCCCCAAAAGCAACAAATAATGGCGTCATACTGTCCTGTCTTAAGTGACCGCGTAAATGCTGGGAAGGCTGATTATAGTTTCCACGGTAATCAAGATGTCAGTACCCCAAAACACTGTGAAATAGCACAGGGTCTCCTAGGAACCTAGGGAGCCAGGGAATGGAAAATGGAAATCAAGCCACGAACCTCATTAATTTTAATAATTTTATCACAATTTTTTAAAACAGGCTTATTTTGTGAGCTTAAAAAGTCCTATCAGTTTTGTTTGGCTTGGTTTTCTCCAAAATCTAAGTTTGGCAGCAGAGAGGGCCTATATGTCTGAATGCATTGGCTGGAGACACACACTTGTGTCATTTTCAACATAGCAAGAAGACAGAGTACAAGGAATCCTGGAAAGAATGTAAAAGCTGTATTTGCACATCAGTGAGGGTGAGTTCAGGTGGGGGGGGCATTATTTCTTAATTGTTGCTGACGGTTGGGCCTCACAGGATGGTAGCTGTATGGTAAAGGACAGGAAGGCCCCTCTGCTAACTGATGCTAAAGCTGTAAGGATTCCATATGCAACGTCAAACTAGACAACTACCTATTGTGGTGAAGCCAGATCCACTGCACATTCCCTAGAAAACATGGTACTGTTAAGGGCTTCTTTTCCTCTTAGAGGCTGCCTTCAGTTCCCCAGCAACTAGACTGTTCCTTACCACAGAGGCAGGCTGAAGGGTGTGGTCTATGGAGTGAGGCTCCTAGGTCTGTGTAGCCACTGGAATCATATGAGGAAGTGCCAGTGAAGGACTTTAGATCCTAGATAACTAGATATGTTCTGGATGACTAGATTTTCTTCAGGGCTAGGGCTTTTGAAAACTCAGCAAAGCTGAAATAACTCTTCTCGTCAATATCTGCAAATGGATCATTTCTTCTCTGGCAGTTTGAGCAATTAATCTACTGTGTCCACAATGCCAGATTCCTGCCTGGACACATGTATTCACTCACACCTTCTAGGAAACCCACAGCAATACAGACAATGGGTAAAGGTTGAAACAGTGGCAAGAGTAGCCCTAATGGCAAAAGACACAGCAAAATTCCAGAAGCAAGCAATGTGTTTGATGAGGAGAGGTACTCAAAAACTCTCCAGAATTTTCCATGTGAACTAACCCAGATGTGACTTTGTGAGTTACTTGCAAATTAGTAGATAGAAGTAGTACTGGTAGGAAGGGGAGGAAGGAAGAAAAATGGGGAAATTTTTCTTAAAATGATAAATATTTATTTTATCTTCCATTTGGACAACTTATTATTTAATTCATCATGGCGTCAGGCTGTTACACGATTGTCTAAAAACTGTCTGCATCTGTGACATGATTAATAAGGCAGCAAATTGGCTCTCTGTCATGTGACAACCTCAATCAATTGGCAGTGTGTTTGTGAGTTTGAGAAGCTCTGAGACTGAGTTGAGCTTAGTGAGCAAGTGTGCTGCCGTGGATTAGAAATGCCTGCCTAGAAGAGAAATTTGTCTCTTAAAAAAAATGATAAGTTTTCAAATTCTGGCTTCTGGAGTTGTATTGCAGGTGAAGGAAGAGCTAAATGAAAGACCACATTCCCTAGAATGTTTTATGAAGCAGTTACCTATTTTCATCAAGTAATTGACTTTAGATACACAACTCCAAATTACTATTTTTCACAAAAAATCACTTTTTATTTCAAATGGTCTTCATCGTTATGTGACAACTCTAATCAGATATTGGAGGCTTTCCTGAAGATTTTGAGAGCCTATCAAAGCTCAATGAAAAAGCAATGTCTGCATTGATAGTAGGATCGGGAGTGCTGGCACAGTGGCTGTATCTTCTCTCTGTATTTCAACTGTTATAATAGATTAATGTTTCTTACTCTGTCTGACTTTTGTGGTGACAGAGTTCCAGGGTGTTTTTTTAAATAAGCCATTTACTGTATCTGTGCTCTCAGATATAGTTGTCCATTCTGGGCCTGGTTAAGATTCCTCTGGCCACACACATCTCAAATATGTACCTTCATTCTTTAACTTTCTAGACCAGTGTTCCTTTTCCACTTAACTGAACCTTTAAAAATCAAAATTACGGATATTTCTTAGCCAGGTATGGTGGTTCATACCTATAATCCCAGGCCTAAGAAGGCCAAAGCAAAAAAAGACCTCTGGAGTTGGAGGTCAGCCTGGACTACCTAGGAACAAAACAAGGGCTGAGGATGTCACTCAGAGGCAGAGTACGTGCCTCTGGGTTCAATACCCAGTATCACTTAAAAAAGAAAAGAGAAAAATTTTGGTAATTACTATCCACTCTCCATATTTAAAATTCACTGTTAAGTTCATAGACACCATGAAGTCATTCATAGACTCCCTGCCCAGACAAGAATCTTGGCTCCAACTAGAGCCCTTTATTATTTTCAGTATATTCAGTTTTATTCATCTAAAATTTCTCTCAACCTGTATTACCTTCCTAATGGTGAATATCTTCATCTTTTCATAGAACTACAGGGTGGTATCACTTCCCAGTTTTATACTTGTCATACATTTTTACCCAGAACAACCACAAATGGGATTGGTAGACTTGAGAAATGTGTCCATATTCTGCATATTTCCCTTTGTAGATGTTGGCCATGTGTTGTGTCATGACATAGGGTCTGAGTACTGCAATGGCCCCTCTGATGCCAACCCTGTATATGCTCAGGTATTCTGTCCCCAGTGCCACCACCAGGCAAAAGGACCTTCAACACCATTTTTTTTAACATTTACTTGTTTGCTCATGGCTTTCCACATCCTAATATATACATATAAACTCCATTATCTGCTTCCAGATAAACTGCCAGACGTTCTGTGGGCAGTACAATGTTTTGAAAAGAAGAAAACAACAACAAACTAAACTAAGCTGTGACATTTTACTGACCACGAGAAATTTATTTAATTTCTCTGAGCCTCAGATTTTCTCTTATTAAGTGGAAAATAATGACTATTTCATGGATTTATTGTTGAGACTGGAGATTGTGCAATGTAACAGGCTTAGCACATTGCCTTGAACAAAGTTGATGCTCAATAAATAGCATAACAATTCTTGTTATAACCAATAGTAAAGGTTGTAATAAATTCCTACATCTGATCATGAGCTCTCTGTCTCAGTTTCCTCACCTGAAGAATAGGTCAAAAGATGGCCAATCAATGCTAAATCTTCCACTTATTCTTCTGCCTACCCCACCCTTGCTCCTCAATCTTATATATAAGAACGTCCCCAAATGTTCTGTGATCCTATCAGATTAGCTCTAGCACTGTGCTTCACACTTGCTATAGCTAACTTTTTTCCTTTTCTTTAATAGCAATATCCCTTTTCCACCCATCAAGTTTTCTCATTCTTAAAAATCTAAGATGAATGCAATTTCCTCCACAAACCATTTGCTCACTTCTCTGTTTGCTACCAACTCCCCTCTTCATTGAGAGAGTACATTTCTTCAAGTGACTGTCACACCATTTAGCCATTAATTATACTGGGTCTTGTTCACTACAGAGGTGTCTCATATTTCATGCCTATTCAACGATGGATATGAAAATTTAGTCTCACATCGACTCATTTGGAAATGAGAAAATCTTCCAAGAGATAAAAGGAAACTAAGTTCATGTCTACTTTTTTGTTTGTTGTTACAGGTTCTTTGCATGAACAAGGAATGGTTCAAATGACTGTGAAAGACTACATGAGGTAGGCAGAGGAACCAGAGTTGCTTCATTCCAATATTTTAGAGCTACATCTTTGATACATGAAATAGTTGTAAAGAAGTTTCTTAATAATACCATGGACTTGGGATCTCATGAAATGTTATTGGCTTAGCCACAATGCCCAGAACATTTTCACTAACCTTGAGAGAAACAGAGTTTCCTTAAATATGATAAAGAACTCAGGAAATGAACTCAACGAATGCTGACTAGGTGGGAAATTTAATTAGAACCTGTACATAAATGACTTTCCACTACAATGAAATTGTTCATGAAAGTTATGTTCTTATTTTCATTTTACCAGTGTTACTAATCATCACGATATTTTCTGGGTAATAATGGCACACAGTATCCAAAGTTATATGGAAAACAGCTAGTCCCTTAATAGAGAAGAGACTGGGTCTCAGGGTGAGACCCATCAAACAGCAACATCATCTGGGAACTTAATAGAAAAGCAAACTCCAAACTCCACTTGAGACATAGTGGATAGAAGATCAGAAGTAGGGTTCAGAACTCTTGTGGGGTTTTTTTTGTTGTTGTTTTGTAAATCCTTCAGATGTGAGGCACACATGCTTATTTAAGGAACACTGGATTAAAGAGCTTTTTGAGGTTAGGGACTCTTCTTCCTGTGCCTTCATCATGCTTGCATTTTTAGGATAATTCCTGCTAGCTGAAAACCAAGTGTACAGTACTCCAACCCTCTTACTCCTACCAAATCACATCCAAACTGCCATTTTTCATGGTTCCCCCTAATAAAGGATTGGTTGTTTTTGTTATTCATGGAATCATAGAGCTCTAGGGGAATGCAGAAATCTTCAGGCAACTCTTTATTTTCTCAAAAAGGAAAATGAGAGCTGGGTTCAGTGACCAGCGGGTATGTCAGTGGCTTTATTAACAGTGAGTATGCATGGATTCTTCTAGACTCAAGGCCAGAGCTGTTTCTGGGTATCTCTCCCAAATATTACAAAATAAGAGATGATCCTCAATCTCAGAATGAAAGCTAAATTATGGAGGGCCTAATACTAAGTAAAGTGAAAAGCTCAATCAAAGGATATTTTTTGCCTTTCCTCTAGACTCCCAGCAAGCTAGATGATCTTTTAAAATGAGAGCACTCTTATTATCCAGAAACATGTTCTTTCTCAGCTGTAATGAAAAGAAGCAATTAAACAAAGAAGAGGCAGGGTCCAATTGTTCTTACTAAATAAGTTTAGGTCTAAGACAAATTCAGCAGTCCATGGAAGGTAACTTGGTCTTCTTGGGAACATTGGTATCTTCATAATATTATTTGATAAATTCTAATTTTATGCCAATCATCTATTGTATCTTATGATGCTAGATGGGATCCATGATATAGATGAGCTATAAAAACTGAATTGTGTTATAATAGAGTTCCATTCTCTTTGGAAGTGCTTTAAAATGGTTTGCAACACAGCCCTATTGGATAAAGTGTGCTCATTATTTTCAGTAGTAAAGGAGTTTGTTACTGTTGCATATGGATGGCCACAGGTACCCTGGGGACAGCATTCAGAGACTGTTAGTCATGCAATATGAATGCTTCTCCATTGTGAGAATTAACGTGGAGTCGCTCCAATGGCTGTTCACTGTACCTCTTTCATCACGTAATTTTAACTTCTTCCCCAAAGTTGGAGACTAGCAAGGCTGAGTTCCTGAAAGGTCCCCCAATGATTTGCCATCTGTCAAGAATGAGATATTCCGTCACCTTTATAATGAGCACTAGCGGGCACCTAACAAATTCTCACACCTTCAGTAACACAGTACTCTGAAAAGAGGAACAGCCCCTCAGCTGCACACTCTCTCCTTGGAGGTGTGGCCATTACAGGATTATTAGAAGCTAAGAGGAAATGCAAATGTTTGCTCTGGAAGAGAAGGAGTCACAATGACCTACCAAGGATGACAAAAATCAGCATGTCTCATCTTTGGTATTCCCCCTCCCCTGCAGATCTCTGCATCAGTTTTCAGAAACTCCTACCCTATCCAGAGGAACCAGTTTCAATTCTTGCCATTCTACAACAAGTGTACCACAAAGGTATGTGATTTCAAGGCCCTTTTCATCCATAGGAATGATTCTGCACAACAATGAATTTCATGAAATTATAAGTAAGTGCTGGAGGAATACTGCTGAATGGATAAGAGAATGAATAAAGCACTTCAAACTGTGATTTACAAGAACAATATAAAAGAGTCAGTGAAATGGGAAATAGACTAAATATCTGTCAATGGGGAAATGGGCAAAAAAAAAAAAAAAACCTATTGGCCTATCCATTTTATGGAATTCCATACAGTGATTTAAAAAAAAAAAAAGTCAGAATTATACAGGTTGTATCTGTAACTATTGGAAATACATATACCATATCTCTACCTATTAGAAAGATCTTTGGATCATATTTTTAGGCAAAAAAACAAGATGCAGAAGAATACATACAATATGTTACTATTTATAAAGGAAACAATGAAATCTACAAAGCATGAATGTAACTACATAGAAAAATGTCTAGAAGTTTACTCAGATTTAGCAGGAAGTGGGTGTACTAGTGGGGTTACTGACTAAGAGGACAGAAAGATTTATCTATAATATTATAATCTTGTAAAGGTGATATATTTTATGTATTTCTTGTATAACTATATGTAATTTAAAGGTTAATGATATTTTTATACTGATGTGAAAATATTTAATGGCAAATCAAATGATATTATTGGCCATGAGGCTATCTTGATTTATTAAAGCAGGGACTATCTTTGTTAATTTTTGCTCCTTGTGCCTAGCATTACAGCTCAAAACATGACAGCTGTCCAATAAATATTTGTATAAATTGCTCTAATAACAGTGTGTAAAATGGGGTTAATAGGGTAATAGATTAAATTGATCAATTTAGATTTGTCTCCAGAATTTTTTTTCTCCTTCACCTTCTTTGATGCTAAGCTGCCTATGTCAATGTAAGCAAATGCTTGGAATCCCAGCTCTTCAGTTAATTTCAGTGATCAAGATATCTGAGCTAAGCCATTTAAGCCCCTCACCAAGGGTTCCTGGTCTACCTTTTCTCTTGATCAAATCAGGAGGCAGAGCGTCAGAGCTCCATGTCACATTAGAAAGTGTGAATGTCATGCTTGTGGTATGAGTGAGTGGGCCTGCCCATGGGGTAGGTTACAACAGTAAAATTATCTAAGTGCTATAGTGTTGCGTGTAAAGTAAAGGCAAACAGTCACTTTAACAGAAGAGCAAACCTGGTAAAGACCTTATCGAAAGTTCTTATTCCCAGAAAGTCCATGGGTTTTTAAGCTCAAATCCAAGAGTTTACTAATTAGAACTGGGTTGGTATATATAAATACAATTTCCAGATAACTGTTATCATTTTTAGTGCCAAATGAGAATAGAACAATTTGACAAAAGCATTTCTTATTTCTCAGCCAAGACCAAGGGAAAAAATACAGAACATATTTTAATCCTACTTAAGGACTTAAATTATTTGGAAACACCAATCCATATAGTCTGCATTCAATGACATCCTTAACAGATTTGTGTAGCCGAGGGTGCCCCAAACTGATACTCTATAAAAATATTCTTCTTTGAGACTCCAATTCACAGTTTTGGGTTTTTTTCTTCTGTTTTCTCTCTAGACATCAGTTATCACTTTCTTCTGTTTCCTCTCTTGCCATCAATTATCATTGGTTGTCAATGCACAATTTTTGGCTTCATTCCCCAAGCTTCCTGTCCTGTCTAACCTAACATTTGTCCACTGAGAAAAGAAGCCAGAAAGATAAATTCATGCTCTAGTATGTAAAGCCTTGGATGGGGTGACCATTTATCCTTTAGGTGAGTATATATTAGCCCTAGTGGATATACCATGTTTTGTCTGGCCACGTTCTTTCACTCACTTTCTAGAAAATTGGGTGATTAGAAAAAATGGCTATGGTTAAGTGAGCTATTATTGGATAAGGATATTCATATTTTTATCACAGCATTCCTGAATGGCTGGAATTTTGGGAAAAAGATCCAGTAGAGATTCTCTTGGATCTGGGGTTTGGCGCTGATGAGCCAGACATCTGCACACAAATTCCATCCAGGTTCCTTGGTTGTGGTTCAGCAGCCCGAGGTATCAACATCCATGTTTTTCTTGAAGCTCAGAAGCAGCGAATGGACATTGAGAACCCTAACTTGTATGGTAAGTAAGGACCATCTGCCATTTGCATCCAGCAATGGCAACGAGTCGATGGAGCACCACTTTGTTAGATGGGTTAGGCTAATAGATTGTGAAAAAGTAACTTTCAACCCTCTACTTCTGGGGTTTAAAACAGAAAAGATTTATTTTTTTGATCACTTCACATGTTTGCTGTGCTTTGTATATATTTGGCAGAATGACATATCTACTCCATATTGTCCTCTCTGAATAATTTGCCCCATCCCCACCCCAATCTGGACAGCACTAGTTGCAGTGACAAGGAAAGGGTGATGCAAGTGGAGAACAATACTCAGCTCTTAAATCCTTCTGCTCATAGCTCACACACATTTGGTCAGCTCAGATTTCAATGGGTAAAACAAGTTACAAGGCCACACAACTCCAAAAGAAGTGGCATGTACAATCCTGTCATATGCCCAGAAGGAGGAAAACTGAAAATACTATTGAACAGCACTAAAATCTACCATAGTCACACATTCAGGAGGCAGAGAACTGGGATCTCACAGGACTTCCCCCTAGTCACTAGGTGAAACCTGAATTTCCTCATCTGTGGAACTTAGACCACTGCCATGTGTGTGTTGAGCTGCAGTGGTAATTATTAATCTTCCATACCTGCAGATTTGTGGATTAACTATGTCTAATCCTTACAGCTATTGTGCATGCTGCCATATTTCCCTGACTGGTTGTCACTGTACTTTTTTCCTCTGGGATATTTCTAAGGATGTTCTCAGGGTACATGTACCATGTCTGATTGGGGTGGGGAGATGCTTTGAATTGAAGCAGGTTTGTTTACTGCAGGGTTTGTTTAATTTGTGAATGGTATGTTCAGGCTCCTTGTGAGGATGTAGGACATCATTCTAAATCATTTAAATGTAGAAACTCTCTTGGATCAGCAAAGAACATCTCCATAGGATTCTAGTTGGAGAAAAGACAAAATTTGGTTTCTCAAATTATTTTAAATAAACTGGGTGTGGTAGCTCAAGTCTGTAATCCTAGCTGTTTGAGAGGTAGCAGATCATGATTCAAGACCAGCCCAGGCAAAAAGTTCATGAGACACCATCTCAGCCAATAAAAAGATGAGTGTATTAATACATGCTTGCCATCCAGCTACATGGGGAAACATAAATAGGAGGATCACTGGTCTAGGCCAGCCCAGGGATAAAGCAGACCATATCCCAAAAATTAACCAAAGGAAAAAGGACTGGGGGCATGCTCAAGTGCTTGAGCACCTGCTTATCAAGCCCAAGGCACTGAACTCAACCCCCCAGTGCCACAAAGGAAACTCAAGGATCTGAAATGTTTTTCTCAATTATGTGGAGCAGAGCACCTGGCTTTCTCATCTTAGTTTCTTTTTCTCCATTTTCACATAGGTGAAATAGTTCTCAAAATCTCAGCTTTGAGGCTTTTAAAGAAAAGTATGTCAACCTGAAGGTATACAGTACAAAGTTTCTTCACTTTTCAGAAGCAATTAATATTGTTCTTTGATGTCTCCTCTTCCAGGAAGCATAGCAATATAAGTTTTTGATTTATTCTTTATTTCAGGATAATAATAACACTTAATAATATTTGAGTAGTGTTTGAGCTGATCTGTGAAGTAGACATTTTACAAATGAAATTGACCCAGGAATTAGAGAGGAACTATCAGTTGGTCCCTGATCCTGTAACAGCTTGGCCACTCTTATCTTCACTACTTAACACTTATTAGTTCACTTTTGATTCAAGAAAGCTGAGAAGGCCAAATGTAAATTAGGCAATAACAAAGTTACTTGGTTGTTCAAAAGATCAATAGAAAATTATGTGCCTTTCAAAATTAATACAAAAGGCTCAAACTTGAGAGTAAGAATCAATTAGTGCATTGCTCAATTTACCTAAAGGCAAAAATAAAACACTCATCTGAGTGTTTAGACTTGTATTTGGACTTGTATTTTCTGAATTGACTGAACCAATAATGTTGATAGGTTTTTGTCTTAGTTTAAGTGCAAAAACCTAGTATGGGTTGGATGGAAGACAGCCAGAGAAGCTGCACTGTAATTCTTCAATTGTGCCCACTAGCTCACAAAAGAGAATTCCTTTCAAGTAAGCTTAACTTGGAGGGAGGAATGTAATCAGAATTATTTGGAAACATTCAAACCCAAGAGTTCCTATAGATCTTGAAAGAATAGCACAGTTATCTGGGAGAAATACATCATATTTTTTGAAGTAGAAGGTTGACTTGTCAATCCCTTCTACTTTCAGATGAGAGAAACAGTTACATAAAGGACATGCTCAGAGATTAGTTAGTAGCATTGCTTTGATGGTGAAAATGACAGAAGGAAGGACAGCATCTTGACCACCTATGTGGTGCTTGACCATTGCTGGGTCACGTAACCCTGCATGCAGTCACTGAAGTTGAGAGGAGACTGTGCTATGACAAAAAAAAAATGCTTTGCTTTTCCATTACTATCATTTTATTAAAATGAGATACCAAATATATATTTGCCAATCTGACAAAAGACTGGCAAAGTGCCCCCAAATTATCCCTTAGTGCATTAGGTCTCCTCCTTATGCTAATTAAATCAGTACTTGCATATATTGCCTGATATTAAAATATTGATGCAAGATCATCCAGAAAGCCTTTCAAGTTGAGAAATTGGTTTGTTTTGAAGGCCAAATGGGTTTTCTCATTAATGACTGTCTTCTCTTGAAAGACTAATGACAGTGTATTCCCTCCTGAGTCCTGCACGTTTACAATCATTATTTTAATAGCCAATACTACATAACATTGTATTTTTACAACTTTGCTTTGATGCACACAACAGAGATGATAGATCCACAAAAGAGTTGTGATTCCCCAGGTGGAAAAAACTGACCATTTACTATGTCTAGCACAGAGCTAAGAGCCATGTATCTATTAACTCACGTACTCTGGGGTCAAACCCAATAGTGATGGTTGAGCTGGGATTTGGATCCAGACCTCCTGACTTCAAACACTGTGATCATTCTACTCTCTGGTGATGGAGATGTTGGAGGTGATGCTGAAATGTCTATGCATGAAGCTGTGGGAAGAGCTGTGGGAAGAACAGTGTTATGGTTTGAATATGAAAATATCCCCCATAGGCTCATGTGTTAAATGCTTGATCCCCACCTGATGGCACTATGTTTTGGGGGTGTGGGTAGAAACTTTAGGAAATGGGACCTACCTAGCTGGAGGAAAGAGGTCACTGTAGGTACTCCTTTGAATGCTATACCTGGTTCCTAGTCCCTTCTCTCTGTTTCCTGTCCACAATAGGTGAATAGCTCTGCCACATGCTCCTATCACTATTATGCTCTGTCTCACCATGGGCCCAGAATCAAGAGAGCCAAGGGTTACGGCCTGCAACTTCTGAAACCATGAGCTAAAATAAATCTTTCTTCCTTTAAATTGTTTATCTTGGGTGTCTGGCCACAGAGATGAAAGTTTGACTGATACAAATACTCAGGCCACTTCATATTGATGATGCTGGCTAGGTTCATTCTTTTCCATTCAGTTTAATGCACATAGGTATATATATTCCCACCATATCCAGAGTTTTTTTAATGCATTAACACATAAACACTACGATCATAATGGATCTATATAATTATATGTACTCGACTGAAAAGGTATTTACTTTCCCTCCAGTACAGGGATTTCTCTTTATGTAGGAGAGCCATCTGCATAAAGCAAAGGGAAAAGTTGAGTTTCTAGAGCTTAAATTCCTTTCTTATCTTGAAAAACCACATGTTTACCCACTCTTTTTGTTTTTACATCATTTACTTCATTAGAGCAGCTCCACTGGAAAGACCCTGTCTAAAATGCTTGTGTTCCTTGTGTTCATCAGGCCGATTCCAACAGCTGGAGATCCTGGACCATATAACAAACGCCTTCTCCTCTTTGCTGAATGATGGTAACACCCTACAGAGCAAAGTTGAAGAGAAAGCTGGAGGAGAGAGTGTACAAAAAGCTTTGGTGAATGGGGCTAATGAGCATCGAAGAAGAATGAGTAGACTTTTAAGGAGAGCTTCAAAACAGGACATCAGGAGGGACTGTAGCCCACAAGCATCAGAATCTTTCAAAATGCAGAATGGGTTTTCCATCCAATATGCCAATCCAAGGAAGACTGGATCAGACTTACCTGTGGCCTCCATCAGCCACTGCCAACATCATGGGTCTTCTTCTGCAGACCATCAGTGTGTACAAGCCTGTGATGACTTGGCACCTTGTCACCCTCCACGAGCACCTCTGGGCAAGCAATGGTCTTGCTCATCCATGCTGGTCAAGAAGCCCCCTCCTTCCTGTGTGTCTGAGGGATTGGTCAGGGACAGAACTCAGAGGGAGAACTGGATTTACAGGAATAAGCTCAAGAATTTTTCTCATCTTGCGGGTAAAGGACCAGAATCCTTTGAAATGGAGGAGGTCAGTGTTGTACCTATGTGCTTAGCTTCCTCAAGAGAACATCTTTTGTCTTCCAGCTCTTATTGGTCTACTCTATCTTTCATCATCTCATTATTCTAGCTTATTGTTCCAAATTCAGTTTAGTCTCATGCACTTTGAGTCATTCAAGTAGCTTCAGTCAGAAATAAACTAGCATAAAATCAGTTTTTTCCCATTTCTTTTGTCCAACTTTCTCACAATTGAACCTGAGTTATTTCCAACTTTGCTTTTGCTCAGTGTTTTATTATGTGTTTCAGTATGCTTTGTATCTGCTATACAAGTCTCTATGCTTTGCCTTCTTGGAGGGTCGGTTCAACTACTTTCCACTTAGTGACGCTTGTCCTGACAACTCCTGTGTGTTCTCAGAGCCTCCACAAGGGGAGCTTGTGTGCCAGTGGCCTCTCCCCAATTAAGCTTTCAGCAGCCAGAATGTGTTTGGGGAACATTGGTCCCATAGCCTAATCCAGTGCCTTAGATAAAGCAGAAGGAACTGGGATTTCATTTTCATTTTAGGGGTTAGTATTTTATTTGCTAGCATGCTTTGGGATTTATTGATATTCATATAGCTTGACTGCATTTCAAATACATCCTTTGGTCCTTCATTCCCATCTTCTCTCACATTCATTTTCACTCTCATTTCAATGACACCTCCACCCATCCATCTCATTGCTTTTTTTTCTCTCCCCAAATTATATACATGTTCCACTTGTTTCTCTATTCATCATGGAAATTATGATGGGGAGTTAGTTTGGTGAAACTCTGTTGCTTAATATAATTACAAAGGAGCAATTACAAAGTATGAACAAGATTTTGTCCTCTTCATCTAAATTATCCAAAAGCAGGGAAGGATATTTATATGTAAAGTTCAATGTGGGGTCACCCCTCTATTGAGCCCTCTATGTGCCAGGCATAGAGTGACCAGTACAGAAATGGTAACAGAATCTACCTTGAAGGGAGCCACAGAGAGATAGCAAGGATCAGCACAGAGAGCAGTAATATGGAAGGACAGTGGCAGATCCACAGATGATCTTTTAAGTTACTCTGCAGACATGCTTTGGAGTATTCAAGCAGAAAATAAAGGAATTTGTAACCTTCCAGGGGACTGAGAGGATCAACGAATTTATGGGATGTGAGGTTTTAACCTTAAAAGAATAAGATTTACTTAGGTAAATATGCCTATTGGCAGCCTTCCCTGCCCCCCAGGTATAAAAATTTCTTCAAAATATGTACCTATTAATGATCTTAACATTCCATCTATCTATCTAATCTGTCTGCCTTATATAAATAAATTGAAGATGCTTAAAATAATGAATATAAAATAATAACATAAAAATTGCAAAAGAAGAAAAAAAGCAGAACTTTGGTTAAGTGCTCGGATTTGAGGATAAATAGGGTGGTACAAAATAAAATGTTCTCTTTTAACTCAATTTTACAAAGATTATTTAGTTACCAAACAAACAGTTAAATTATTGTAGAAAGTCAAGTCAATGTGCAATTTGTTAGTCAGGCTGGTGCGTTAGCTAGGATCCAAAAAAGAAGTTTCATCAACTGTGGTCTATCATCAAGCCTTGCTAGACTCTACTGTCCCTTAAGTTTCCTCTGCTTCAAATCAGCCCATCTTAGAGGAGAAGTCCTCCACATTCAACTGTGTGTCATCAATATGTGAGAGTGGGGGAGATTGACAAATGTCAAAGTTCAAACAAGAATGTCAGTTCTAGCCTACTCTACTTTCAAATTTTTTTAAATGACAATTATTTGAGGAAAAACTACTTGTTAGTATATATTGGAGGGTGGGGAGAGGAGAAGCAGGGACACCAATTTTTTTTAAAGAAGCCCATGTTTCTTCTGCACACAGGTGATATATGTTGAATAAATGAATGAATGAACAAAGTAACATTAAAAGTATTTGATAATGTTCATTTAGCCTAAGGATGGCTTCTATAGAAAAACAGAATAGTCTGTCAAACTTCATAGCCAACTTTGTTTCTGCTGTACCTTCAACATTTTCCCTGATTTGCATATGTGACAGGCTACATGTGTATGTAAGGCAGAGAGAACTGTAAAAATCACATAGAAGAAACTTGCTACTTAAACTTTGTCTTTACAAAGTTTTCATATTATATATAAAATGTATATCATGTATAAAATATTACTGTATCACTGGGGATTTATGTTTATTTCACTCATACCAGTGAGTGAGCACATGAAGCTTCGGTAGAATGCATCTTAAACAGGAGCCAATGCCAGATTTAATATTTATTTTTCAATGGCAAATATAAAAATGCAATTATGAGAAATGAAGAATATGTGTGAAATTGACAGATTTTCATGGCATTTAAACTATGAACCAATGTACATAAATATTTATCAGAATTTCAGCTATGCTTGGCCTCATTTTCCCTCCAGATCAATCTACAATGCTTTCCCTGAAGTCTTGCTGAAGGCTGCATTTGGTGATAATTGGCTAACATCTCAAAATTATGATTCCAAAGAAAATTGTGCATAGATTTCTAATGCAAAAAAAATCAACATTTTTTGTGTTTAATTTACTTAGTAAAATTGAGTCAGCGCCTTTCTTTTTAAAATCCCAAGCATATGAAATTAATTTGATCTGTGAAGCTCATGAGATTATAAACTCAAAGGAGGCTGCTTCTTTAAACCTACAATAAATAATCTTTATTCTTCTCTCTCACTTGCAGAAGTTACATGTGAGAACATTAACCATATTATTAAATAATTGCAATTGGCATCTTGATTGGATGGAGACTATTTAGAAAGTTATGATTATGTAATTTTTCATTGATTAATACATTTGTCTTAGGTGAAAAGCCCAAGAATACATCTGGTATCTATTTTGAATTCTCAGGCTTTTTTCTTTTGTTTTTTTACTAGATAAATATGTTCTTTATAAATTTACTAAATGAGTTTTTCTCCATACTAATGGTCATAAGAAGATAGTTTTCTTATTATTACACTTGAAATTTTTATGGTGCATATGGTTTTAGCTACCAAAACCAGTAAAATAATGCTCAAAGTATGTCTATTTAATTACACATGTAAGGTAATACATTCAAAACAAAGATGAGGGGTTGAAAGGGAGACTAATCTTTTCTCTTAGGACCTTACTGAGCTGTGCTCTCATGGGTCTCTATTTATTCCTGGGTTGAAGGTTTTTGGCCAAATGTAGCATAATGTTCAAAATATTCATGTCATTTGATTTGGCTTTCAGTATTCAGGCATCACTATCAAATAAATATGACATATAGAATTAGATGTATGTACAAATATATTCATCTCAACATTATTTATAATTGGAAGATTTTGAAAACATTTCCAAAAGTAGGAGAATTATTAAATGAACCTTAAAAGACCTTCAAAATATGACCTATGATAGTCATTTAAAGATGGTGTTTTTAAGGAAACTTTAAGATGAGGTGTAAAAAAACTTTTTAGTATCATTAGTTTGACAACAAAACTATCTATCCAGAGCAAGTGATGAAAAAGAAAATTTGCAAAGAAAGACTTCAAAATTCAAAATGTTAACCAGTAACTATCTTTTAACCTTTTTTCATTTGGCAAGTTTCTACAGTAAGCTTTGTTACTATTTTTAAAGTAATATTTATTATTTTGCCTTAATAATAGTCTCATTCTCTTTTTAAAAGTAGTTTTATATTGTCATTAACAGAGTACTGCTTATGCATTTACAAAATTTCAAGCATAAATTCCGCTCTAGCAATTTGAAATTAAATTTTCTTTCATCTAAGTACTATGTTACTTGACCTTGCTACCTCCTCCCTATAGACTGTAAGCTATTTGAGTTCATGGTCTTATCAGTTGCCAATAGACATTCATTGTATGTTTATTAAGTGAGGTGAATGTTTTTGAAAAATTCTCTAATGCAATGAATGCCTTTTAATGTCATAGGTCCAAAGCTTCGAAGAAGAGACTGGTAACCCCCTCGACATGGCTTCAGGAACTGCAGGTAGGAACTCATCAAGGGGTGTGCTTTCATTTGCACTCTTCCAGAAAAAGAATTAAATAACAATGCCTTTACTTTCTTAAATTGTCTCCACAAGTTGCCCTACATTCCTGCATCATTCTAGATGGTAAAAGCCATCTGAGATGGTAAATATGCTTACCAGGACAAGTACAGTATTCCTGGGGTTAATGGAATTTTAGGTTTATCTAACACTAACTCTGTATGATCTGATGACCAGAGTAGAATGGATTCTGTATAGGACTAGACTAACTGAGAAGTAAGGACTAATAATTCCTACTCCTATTGGGCTTAATGTTGCACAAGTCCTATCATTTTATTGGACCTCAGTTTTTCCATCTGTAATAAAGAGTTAAGTGCAGGTAATTGTTATCTTCATGGCACTTAAATTCCAAATTTTGCTTGACCTTGATATCTAACACAGAGTAAGCTCACCTCTATCGTCTTAGATAACAGAGAAGGAGCTTTTCTTCACTTCTGGTTCTTATTCTCCTATGCACTTATCGTAGTGACTCAGCATGTCCATGATCCTTTAATGGAGCTAAAAGTAGGCAGAGATTAGTCAAGCTAAGTAGAGCAGATGAAGCTAGTGCATTTCCTGGAAGAAAATATGCAAATTTTTAATGTAATTTAGCATGGTGTCAAACACATCTTTTTCATTACTAAGTGTATGTATGGGTCTCATTTTGCTAAATGCTGTTTGGAAATTATGCATTAGTAATTATAGGGTCCTGCTGATTACATAAATTGTTATTCTGCTCTTCTAAGTAATTACCACATAACCTGCATTGAGGTTTATAAGACAAAAATAAGCATCTGTTTTCCATCTAATTGAATGCTTCTCAATGAAGCTGGAGGTCCCCTTGTAAATAGGAACCACCTTCCTTGACATTTAATTAAGAGGTCTACTGATATCATGTAAGCCATCCCAATTACCCCAAAATAAGTTGGGAAGTTAGGCAAATTGTGACAGTAATATAAGATAGGTGATGGCTTACCTAATGGAGAGAATCCAGAAACAAATGGAATTTTATTGCTTTTAGAAATACTATTGTTGCCAGGCACCAGTGGCTCCTGCCTGTAATCCTCGCTACTTGAGAGGTTGAGATTGGGAGGATTGTAGTTTAAGGCCAGCCTGGGCAAATAGTTCACAAGACTTAATTTCTAAAATAACCAGAGCAAAATGGACTGAAGGTGTGGTTCAACAGTAGAGTTTCTTCTATACAAGAGTGAAGCCCTGAGTTAAAATCCCAGTCCCACCAAAACCCAGTGAGTGTGGTGATACATGCCTGTAATCCCATTTGAAGAGGTAGAATCATAGGTTCAGACCCAGCCTGGGCTACATAGTAAAACCCTGCCTCAAAAATACTAAAAATTTAGAGTTGCTAACTTAAAAAAAAAAAAAGACTGAAAATAAATGAGTATAATTGGTTGAATTAATGAAGAAAGAGGAAAATTTTATATATATATATGAATATATATACATATAAATATATATATATTTACCTTGAGATACATAAATAAGTTCAATATGGTGCATTTTTTTACTCAAAATTCAAAAGGTAACTTCATTTGAAAGGACTGTCTTGACCCACAGAATTTGGAAGAAGTTATGCTGCCCTAGTATTAGGACACTGGCTGATGCTTCTTAATCTACTGGCTGCTTTCTGGCACTTGGGATGTCTGTTCTTGGGAACAAATGCCTCTGGGAGCCCATTCTGGGAGAAACCCCAGCTACATGGGGAAGCCTCATGCACTCTGGTGGACAGCACCGAACGAACTCCTGTGGAAGACACCATCCTTGACAACATCCAGCTCAGTCAACTTTTTTTGTTGTTGTCGTTCGGTACTGGGGTTTGAACTCACAGCTTTGCACTTGCTAGGCAGGTGTTCTACCACTTGATTCCATGTCTCTAGCCATTTTTTCCTCTGGTTGTTTTTGCAATAGGGTCTTGCTTTTGGCCCAGGCAGGCCTGTATTACAATTCTTCTATTTTATATTTCCTACCATAGCTAGGATAATAGGTGCGTGCCCATGCCCAGTTTCTTTCTGTTGAGATGGTGTCTCATGAACGTTTTTCCCCAGGCTGGCCTAGAATTGTGATCCTCCTGATCTTAGCCTCCAGTGTAGCTGAGCTGACAGGTATGCTCCACTATGCCCAGATATTGGTTGAGATGGGGGTCTTGTGAATTTTTTCCTCAGGCTGGACTAAATAGCAATCCTCTCCATCTCAGCCTCCTAAGTAGCTAGGGTTACAGGCATGAGACACCAGCACAATTTTTGAGATGACTGTAATCCAGAAACTAGAAAACTAGAATCTAAGTAACAACCACACAGCTGAGCAAGCCAACTCACAGAATCATGGGAGGTGATAGTCAATAGTTTTGTGTATGTGTGTGTGTGTGAAATTGTTGTGTGTATGTGTCTGTGTGGATTGTTTAAAGCCACACCTTACACACAAAAAGATGATGACACATGATGTTCCATTATAAATATCTTTAAAATTTAGTTAAAAACACTTAAGACTACATTGCTTTTATTCATGTACAATATTCTGAATATTAGCAAAAAAGTGTGTTTAATCATTTTGTACATGAGTTTGAGCAAACTGACTTACAGAAGATGGAAACAAAAGCCATAAATCACCCCTCAGTCCCTGAAAAATCATCACTGAAATGATAAAGTAAGATAAAGAGAAGAAGAAAATATATAAAAATGTCATTTAAAGGGGAAAAATTATGTCATTTATGTTCCAGACCCCTCAAGGAATGTGCAGGAAACATTTTGAATGAATTGTAGATAGTTCTAGAGGAAGTGCTCATCTTGGGATTAAAGGAGTATATCAACACATCAATGTCAAACTTTCCAAATGAATCTCTCTTAACTGTCAAATCAAACATACATGTCCTATCACCTTATAAAATGAGAAAACACGAAAAAATACTGCAAGATTTAGCACCTCATAATCAGAGCTTATTCAGAAGAAATGCCCACCAATTAAAGAATGACTACAAAGAAACATCAGAAGTCCTTGGAAAAGCATGTTCTGAGTGACATGAATGAGGACATTGTGTCTCTTAAAAAGAACTGTCTCCAGTGAGTAGAAGATTCCTTTCAGCTACAATACACAATGTGTGATCCTGTTTCTCATAATGAGTAAGAAATTCCCCATAGACAAACTCTCCCACAGGTAGCTATAAACTCTGGACAAAATATTTTTAAAACTCTTACCTAAAGACATGAGAGAATACACAAGAGCAGTGGAAAGGGTTTTAACACTTGGAAGAAAAGACTAGCATGAAGTAGGTTTCTTTAAAAAAACAAAACAAAACATAACAAATAGCTTCTTAGCCTGAAGACAGGCTCTATTTGGCGCCATACTAAAAGTCTAATGGAAAGTAGCTACAAAAGACAGAGTCTGGGACAATGACAGAAGTTGAGAAGGAGTGTGTGTCTGTGTGTGGTGATGATAGAGGGGGAGGTGGATCCCAGAAAAGAAAGAGCCAGACTGGAAAATCCTCAAATTCTGGTTGTGAAACCTATCCATATCTCTACCCAATATCTGAACTGAACATGCAGAGGAAAATATCAACAATCTCACTAGGCTAAAAGAAGTGAACAGAGACTTTCATATGGAATTTGATTTTAGCCAGTAAGTAACAGAATGAATAGTGAAAAAAAAACTAAAAAGTAGGAGACATATGAGAAATTATTTAAGAACTGAGAGGAAAAAGCAAAAGAAATGAGTGCTATAAGCAAAATATCAAGGAAGACAGATCCAGGAAATACTGTGTAGATGTAACAGGTGGCCTGGAGTTAGGCTCATTCTTTCTTTGACTGAAGTTCTAAAAAAATAAAGGTGTACATCAGATATAAATTCAATATACCAAATCTGCAGATGCAGTCATTCTAAGGAAAGGTTGAAAACTAGTTCAACAACTCTTAAACCTTTCAGCTCACCATGGGTATAGAGAGAGGCCATATTGCAGAGAGTGAGCAGATAGACAAAGAGGGTTCATTGGTAACATTGCTGCCCTGATGTGTTTCCTATTCCAACCTGTGCAGGACTGGGTATATTAAACTTTGAACCCCAGGCAGTAAGAGGCCTTCAAAGAGATCACTCATAGATCAGTTTCATTTAACAAACTGATGCAGTGTGACAAGTACTGGTCCATACACTTTACATGTGTTACTTCATTCAATCCTCAAAATCAACTTTTGGAGTAGGCACTATTTATTTTTGTGGTACTGTCAACTGAACTCAGAACTTTGCACTTGCTAGCAAATACTCTACCACTTGAGCTACACCCCTCACTCCCTTTTGCTTTAGTTGTTTTTCAGACAGTCTGGCTTACTTTTTTGCGCTGGCTGACTTCCAACCATGGCCCTCCTGTTTCCACATCCCAAGTATCTAGGATTACAAGCATGTACCACCATCCCTGGTCCTGAGGCAGTATTATTATTGCATTTGTTAGATAAGGAAATTGAATCACAGAAGCTTGCCCCAGTCATATAGATAGTAAAAAGTGGTGCCCAGTTTCAAATTAAAACCTCTGAACTCTGTTGTACTGCACAGGTGTCTTTGAAATGATTCCATATAATTGGGAGACACAGGGCTCATACATGAGAACATCAGCAGACTGTGGACAGGTTTCTGACTCCAAGACAAGAGTTGGAAAGCAAGAGAAGAGCTGCCCATGGTATTTGAATATATTTTTCCAGTTATTCATCTCTACGGTTGATGGAGGGTCATAGTTTGACAGACTTGTTTTTCTTTCTTGGTAATTTGAAATTTATTGTATCTAATATTTGATGACAATAAACATAGAGAACAGCCATCTGACAGAACTATTGTGCCTGTACTGTGTAATATTTACAGCCAACCTAAATGCTGGTGAATTGACAGACAACCAGGGAGAGAATTCTGGGCTCATAATAAATTAGAAATGTGAAACTGAACATGTTGATAGTAAAATATAGTTGTT